TTAATAATGTGTTCGTCTTGATTTCAACCTACAAGAGCTGCCACAACGGCAAGTTTGTTGTCTCGAGATAACAAATTAATTATTTCATTATCTTGACATAACGAATTAATTAATAATGTGTTCGTCTTGAATTTAAATTAATGCGCTGCCACGAACGGCTTCTGTAGCCACTGGCCGTAGCTGTAGCCGACCGGTAAGTGACGGAAGCCGTTCGTGGCAGCGCATTAGTTTGAAGTCAAGATGAACACATTATTAATTAATTTGTTATCACGAGAAAACGATCTTTGTTATGTCGAGATAACGAATTAATGTCGTTATCACGAGATAACAGTGGCATAAAACTTAATAAACAATCCATGGCGTGTTGCTTCAGGTTCGTATTTTTTGCATAAGGCTCATACAAGAATTTTCAATATATTCAGCTGTAACTAATAACCTCATATCGTAAAATTTGTGTTAAGAAATTAGACATATCCGTGTACTGCACCTGAACAGTTGAGTTAGCTCAGCCCATCTTAGTCGACGTTAGAGTAGCACAACTCCATCTTCGATTTCCATGCGCGTTCCATGACAGTTACGGAAATATGGGAGGGAGGTTGCTTCTGTTTTGTTTGGTAATATTTTGAAGACAGAAGTGACATCATGCAGGATCACATAGTGTTCCTTTAACCCCCCCCCCCCATTGTGTTCTTCCTCAGGCCAACCTACATGCACTGACAGAGATGAAACCTGCTCTCACACACCTGGGGGACAAGGGTGTGCTACTGCTGCTAAGGTACACTATTTAGCCATCTATATTTGGAGCTATAGCGCTTATTTTTTTAAACTGAAGTGCCTATTGGATAGGAATATAATAGAATATTAAAAAATATCATATTGCAATATTATTTACTGTTCTATTGTATCGATTTCTCAAAAAAGTATATTCATTTTTGTGTTTAAACCCCGAACCGGTAGATAGCAGTGAGGATTATAATGTTGGATGTTACTGTGATAAATACATTAAATTTGTAACCCCTGTATATGATTCTTGCAAATAGTTAAATATTATACATATATTTTTGTCATTTAAATATGTATGTATATATATGTATATATATATAATTTTGTGTATATTTGATACTTTTGATCACAGCAATGTTTATTTTAGAAGCAAAAACAAATATATTTCATTGCATTTGGAAGAACCGTTTTCCAACCGTTTTATTTCGCCTTATAATTGGTAAAATAAACACTTTAGTCAATATAGTCCGAATTTGTCAATATATAAAGATTATGATGGCCAAGGAATTCTTTTAATTCCTCGAAAATTCCTCGTATGTGAAAACTTACTTGGCAATAACCCTGATTCTGATTCTGATTATGCATGGTAATCAAGCCCCAGGAAGAGCGCGGGGCTGTATATAACTGTATCCAGTTCTCTTTGTACATCCGTGATGGTGATAAGGTCTCAGAAATTCATCTAGCATATCTGATACAATCGGCGTTGTAGGGCTAATGGAGGTGGGGTGATTTTAACATTACCTGTCCTGGTCAGTGATTCTGATCTACCTCTCACCCCAATAATAGTTATATCCTGTTTTTGTCTGTGAACTTGCTGGTCCTCCTGTAGTTTAAATCCTGTCAGAGTGACGTCTTGTGATTTAAAGTTTTTTCTCTGGCACCATTAAAAGTATGGCCAAACTAGCTATTAGCAGCTTCCGTGTGCAGTGTACCCGTAGATGTACAGACAGATATCACTAGATCTTTGGCACAAAATAAAATTCAAAAGTGATGAATCCGTTCTGAGGCATCTTTTCTTTATGATGTGAAAGCAGATCTATGGCTGCTCTGTTGTGGTAGAAATCAGAGTAATGTGGAATATGATTTTTGACTCTGACTCTTTTCAACTCTCTGCTAAAGTCCATGTCTATTAGAGACCATATCCTGTTAATTTACCATGGTTAAAATGCACAGGGAATATTTTGTTCACCACCTCTTCCTGTAATGTCAATAATGTTTATGCTTTGAATTATTGCTGTTGAAGCACTATAAAAATAACATTCCCTTGTTTCTCTTTCACCAGGTTTTTATCTATTCCAAAAGGGGTTCTCCTATCTCAGTGAGAGAGGATATATCACTAAACAGATGGAGAAATGGCAGAAGGTACAATTCAACCATCATACATCTTTCTTTTTTACTGACATTAACAAAACCTTTAACAGTAAGTCCCTCTGTGTGTCCCTGCAGGGTATAACTTAAGTATGTGGAATGA